ACTGTACCATGATTAACTTTTTATTGTTTTATTCGTGTTATATCTTTTTATCGTACAGACACGTCCAATCGCGGTGCGCGGGCGATCTAATCTCCATCCATCTAATAAAAATGTGTGTTTACGCTTTATTTTATTAGTATAGAGTATAGATTTATGGCATGCAGTTAATCTCACAGAAGTCTTTATATTACAGTAAATATAACTACAATGATATCTCGCAAGTCGTAAACACTATCATATATGCACTAAATTTATTAGGACAATGAAAGCCTAGCTTGATACAGTATGCGCAACGTAGTCAGTTATACTAGGGTGACCATAGAACTCGTACACAAGTGCACAACTATTCCTAGTTCCATATAGGAATCTCGACAGCAGCGCCTCTCGTCGGCTCAGATATCTTTTCTTACAGAATATTATAAAAGCGAAAGTTTTGATGGATAATTGTTAGAGTTTCATTACGATGAAATTTGGCATAGATGTAGAAGATAGTTTGAAAGAACACACAGGCTCACTACTTTTTAATACGATAAAAGTAAAACAAAGTCTATTTGTCCTGAATTACATCAAAAAGCATGGTCACAATACTGCAAAGTTTGCTTTTAACTAGTACCTTTATGCGTATTTACATAACAAGAGGCATTATATAAATTGCATCAGTTTTATCATATAAACATAATTTATAAAGGATTTGTCTGTCTGTACATTGATTAACACCACGTATTACTATACAAATAGACTTTGGACTACCGGTAAAGATAATTATATGTATTTAAGCCTTGAGAGGATTTTCATAAATTTACGCAGTATCAATTAGGGCCTGTCCCACCACTTGCTGATAGCTTAAAAAAAGACGTCACTGTCAGATAAGGGCACAAAATCCGATATTTTCATCACATTTTTTACATATTTGATTGTTTTCACCAATTTACAATTTGGTGGGACAGACACATAGAGTTTTAACTTCAACTCGTACGTATTAATGGGAATATTTTTGATAATATTCAAACTGTCGTATAATTTGTAAAAGACTGAATTTGATATCCATAAGTCTTCATTTAAAGTAGACACACAATTTGACCCCAACCGTATACAAAACTGAATCGATTTTTTACTAACATGAAGATTACTTTACTTTGAACAAGTACTTTGAACTTGAGCAGTAATCGATTTAGTTATATGTCTCGTTAATGATTAATCGATTAAAAATCGATGTTAATCAGTCAGTCGCGACATTGAATAATAATTATTTCCGATTCAAATCGGCGGGCGACCTCTATACTAACTGGTTTTTTTTTGTCAGAATATGTACGTTTAGATAATTTTATCGCATACCAGTAATGTTTAATAAATTAGATTTGTCACCAGTGTGGTAATACTGGGGATACTCGTTAAATAACGCTTTAGAAAAATATTTTAGTAGCCTATGCATTTTGTCAGATTATAACTATTACGGCTCTTCTGAAGTTAAATTAAAACAAACTTTCGTATTCATAATTCTAATACGATTTATTTTATTATCTTAATAAAACAGTGATAACTAGACCATATTATTAAATAGTTTTAGTGTTGTTAGTGACTGTACAATTTAGAAACGGTTAGTACTATAAGGTTTTAGTTTTGACAGACATCCCAAAAGGAGGTACTCAATTCGTCTGTATGTTTTTTATGTGTTACGGCATAAACGTTAGTACATACATAACGTATATACATTTTTATTGTAACACTTTTGTATGTGACTGTACATTTAGAAACGTTTAGTATTTGCATAAGACGGTGTAATTTTAATGGTTTTTAGTTTTGTTACTAACTGTACAAACATTTTTATTGTAACACTTTTGTACGTGACTGTACATTTAGTATTTGAAAAAGACGATGTAATTTAAATGGTTATTAGTTTTGTACACATTTATTTTGTAACACTTTTGTTAGTGATTGTATTTAGAAACGTTTAGTACTGCGTTCGAGTGTATAAACTGTTAATATTCAGAGGTACTTGCCCTGAAACTAGGTCGGCGAAATTGTAAACCCTACTTATCTAGACAATGGGTATAAATTAAAATTATACTTACATAGATAACCTGAATATTCCAATACTTTTACTACATAAGCTTTATAATATTTTATAGTGCCTGAATTAAATTTGAACATATATTATCTATTGTCTATACTATTATAATAAAGCGTAAACACACACTTCTTTGTTGCCTAAGATGTCAGTAATTACAGCATATTTTTGAATAATTCTTTTTTTATAAAAAACCCTACACTTCACGTCGCGCTTTAGGCTATATATTTTCACGCCACTGAACTTCGGGGGTAAGTATTTTGGATAATAACCCTAATGTGGGAAAGAGACCATAAGTTGCCAACATCAAGGAAGCTAGGTTGCCATAGTTTGACATCATGTCGTGTCATTTTGACATTTGCAATTGATAATTTGACAAATGTAAACAATAAAATGAAATTTTTGTAATTTCATGCGGATGAAGTCACAGGGGAACAGCTAGTAGTTAATAAAGCATTAACTTAAAAAATATTTTAGTATACAACAAAGCTATATAGCTTGGGGTTTCCACAAATTCTTACCAATATTACAAATGCAATCGTTTAGAATGAATGTTTGTTAGAGTTTTTCGACTAAAATATTTAACGGATCTCGATGAAACTTGACATAGGTGTAGAGAATAGACTGGAAGAACTTTACTTTTTTAATTCTACGCGGACGGAGCTACAGGCTAAAACTATCCATATGAAAATAATTAAAAAAAACCAAAGAACCAATACATACGTTGTCAAACTTGTCAGAATCAGAATCGCTTATAAATGTCAGACGACATTATCATACTTGTGAAAATGTCAAAAATTATTTCGATCCTATTAATAGAACAAAAATACACCACGAATATTCGAGAACATTTGTCGACGAAGAGCGCGCGCACACCTTTGACCAAACTATCGCACTACTGTTTGTTTGTCGATTGTTTTGCAGCGAATTCAACATAACATAAAAAAATCGAGTAGTGTGCGCACCTCCATATAAGGTCATAGGAATCAAAGCGAACCTAAACAGTTGATGTTAAATATAGCCTTACTAACTTCTATATACTAGCTTTCACCCGCGACTCCGTCCGCGTGTAATTTAAGAAAACAAAAATAACTAGCCTCTATATTCTACCAGATTATCCTCTATATCAATGCCAAATTTTATCAAGATTCGTTCAGCAATTTGGGCTACAAACTCACATCCGTCAAAACTTTCGCTTTTATAATATTACCTTCAGAGAGAGAATATTTTTTTAAATCAGTTAATTAATTTCAGAGCTTATTCAATGCAAACAAACAAATCTTTCCTCATTATAATAATATAGTTGTTATTTGTAAGATGCATAACAAATACGAAATGGGGACGCGGTTGGAAACTGGGACAGCTGATAGCCCCCAACCCTTGGCCTTCCCCAATGAAATAACCGTTATTATGAACAAATAGACAATACAAAACTAATCTTTATATTTATATTTCAACTAATAGTTTGGTATGTTCACTATTTTGTCACAACTTTAAAAATAAAGTCAAAGATTCTTAACAAACAATGCGAAGATAAAAAATCGATTTATTTAATTCTCAGCTGATTTTGCCGGAAGGAAATGCGCTTTTATTCCGCTTTTTAACGTATCGTGTCAATAAACCGACCTTTCCTCCGATCTTATCTTTTCCGAAATACACTAAATCAGGGAAAAGGACGAATTATACCATTTTAGATTACAACCAAGGTTTTGAAAGGTTATTTTCTAGAACGAGTGATTTCGAAATGATTTTTGAAGCATGTATGGTTAAACAACGACAAAATAGTCAATAGATAACGATTAGCAGTTAAAAATAGAATCAATTCCCACCAGCAATGAGCACCATCCCACCAGAGGGCGCCCCAGTGAACAGCGAGCCGGCGGTGTCCGACGCGACGTACACCTTGCGAGCACTATACTTGTCTCCCTCTATCACACGCGCAGCCAGCTCCGCGTTACTGCTGTCCTGCTCGCACCCTGACAGCGTCAGCCCCTGGTGGACAATTGATCGTAATAGAGGTTAATTTGGTCGAAGCTTTGTACCACTAAATTGGTTGCTTATTTAGACGCTGTGCTATGGATCAGTTAAGTATGTAGATATAGGATTTCGGATCCAGAATTTTCTATTATTTCCAGTGTAATTTTTTTTTATATCATAAGGCGGCAAACAAACAAGTGGCCATCTGAATCCGCCGAAATGCCACCGCTGCCCATAGACAACCGCAATTGCAGATTATTTTCTTTTCCTATGCGTCTCCTCCGCTGTCAAATCCACTTGTCCTTCCTATCCTCTCTTTAAGAAAAAGGATGAAAAGGGAAGGGGAATAAAATTAGTTAAAAATGCCAACTGTCAAATCAGACGGAAAAGGAAGCGATAATCGCATATCGGCATTTTTTAACAGTCTAGTAATCACTAGAGTGTCAAAATATGTAAAAAGATACCACTCTGACATACAAGATTAGATAAAACAATACAGCCGCTAATGTTCTTTAAATGAGTCTGTTAGATTAGGCACTATCGCGTAGTTTAGTTACACAGTTTACAAAGAAACAGAGCAAACATCCTGTCAGTAGGATATGAAGTATATTCTGCTTCAGTTCTCTCTACTCTGTGACTGCAAAGTCTACTTACGAGTGAATCCAACGGCATATCTAGTGGTAAGCCGGCATCTTGTTTCGCAGCGTGAAGCATGGCTATAACGCGCGCTGCGCACTTCTCAATGCCAAGGGCCCAGTGGTTAGTGCCAGGGCCCTTCGCCTGCCCCACAACCTTGCCCGTCTCATCGCAGATCACCAGATTCGAATGTGTCGCGCCCCTGCGGATAAAATTAGCGTTACTATCGCAGATTAGATAAAAACACAAAATCGTATTGAATACTACAAACAAATTTTAAATTGCTGTTTACATACACTTAGGGAACGTTTAATTTACCATTAAATGTTTCTGAATTTAGTTAATCCCTAAATACTTCGTAACAATTTATTGCTTAAGTAAGCATTGAATTCTTTTGCTATAAAAATATCAGCCTCCTAGACAAAGTTTCTTTCGATTAGAGATACCTCTAGTAGTGGACAAAATGTGTCAAAATATATAGGAATCCATACGTGACTTATCGAATTTTATCGTCATTTTCATACATTTTTGAATTATCAATCAGGGATGTCGATAATCGACTATTACGTTGTCTAAGGGGGCATCCAATCGTGTTCACTAAACAAAGCAGGCGGCGGGGGCCAAGTTCATGGGAAAACAGTTGAAGAATAAACAGCGATACGTTATCGATATTACTCGATATCGAGTCTATTACGTTGTGGATATCTCATTAATCTTATCAATTGATGGATTTTTGGTCGTATTAGTGTTTATAGTGCTGATTTTTATTATCATATGACGTGTCTAGTAATACACGAACACACTTATCTACTTTCCAAGACATTGTAACGATTGGAACACGGATAAATATTTCTTTTAGGCGAATTACAAGACTTAAAACTTCAAACGAGAGTAGTCTACTTCGGTTTCGATGAACACCCAAAGTTAGTTTTTTTATATCACAGGATTACCAAAATGACCAAGCGACCGCTGCCCATAGACACTCGCTATAGCGGATGCGTTGCCTACCCTCAATCAACGGAGGAGGAAACGCACATAAAGACATCTTCCCTTCCTATGCGTCACCTGCGTCGTCAAATCCACGTATAAGAAAAAGGGTAGGAAGGGAAAGGGACTAAAGTTGGGCCTCTAGTAGTCTCTTTGGTTCTTTTTGTTATGAACTCTCAATTTTGTTTTCCTAACATTGTAGGCTTATAGAACCTATGTAGTTGAAATGTAGACCAAAACATGCCGCGATGAGTTCCAGAGTGAAAGGGACATCCCTTCCTTGTTTTTAAGACATTTTTACAGTATTAAAATACGTTGATTGTCTAGAATAGATTGTTATTCTGTTTTAAACTCCAATCTCCCCAAACGATGTCGGAACGGTTCGTTCAAGTGTTTGTTTTCGTACAATTTGATCCTTCGATAAGACAACTGAAAATCCTCGTTATCTTTCCGTGAAACGCTTAAAGTTAAGGGAAATAACCTTAGAAATAAGTCAAGTGATATGAGAGAATACTGAAACGATATTTATATAGCTGTAACCCGCGATTCCCTACAACAGGAATTCAAACTATGTTCTACATTTACGTCAACTTTCCATACATCTAATCTTTCGTATTTATAATATTTGTAAAATGTAGCGTTATGAATGCCTAGCTGTTGCTCGCGTCTTCTTCTGCGAGGTAATAAAAATTGTTATATATAATGTCTATGTTACTCTGTGTTATTTAATGGTGAAAGAATTGAAATCTGCCCAGTAGCTTTTAAGTTATTATAAACAGAAAAATACAAATCTCTCCTCTTTATATATATAGCCACATCCAAATTTCATTAAAATGTTCACGTTTGTCAGATTGTAGGCGGCGCTTACGAAGCGATGAGATTTGAGATTCGTTCCAGTAATCGTCCGTTAGTCCGATAGAATTTTAGACATTAGATTCCTGTTGTTATTTAATACTAGGTGTTTGTAGTGTAGCTGGCTGGGTCGCGGAAGATTGCGCAAGCGTTCCCGTGACCCAGCCACTGGCGGATAGAAGGAACACCGCTGGGTTTTTAGTGGGTATTCCGGCCATTTTCTTCTTGGCCGGCGAGTATCTGGGACCTGGTAACGGGGAGGGGGATGCGTAAATGCATTTTCACAGCGGAAAAAAAGGGCTTTGTAATGTTTTCTTACACTTAAATTTGTTAGGAGATAGCTGTGGGAGAGATATTTGTTGAATTTACTAACTAATGTATGTATAAACCCAAGACACAGTGTACGTGATGCGTAAAGCAATAGGTTCTGAGGTCGATGTACTCAATACCTTTAAATGTTAGATGCTTTCTAAAAAAGCATGATTTTAAAACAACATAATCGTACAGTTCTTTGTTAGAAGTGAAATTACCATATCAATTTGATTTCCATCTGTTTAATGAGAATTATTAAATTAACTGATTTAAAGTTAATAAACTTTAGAACAATGTATGAAAAAGGTTTCGAAATTCAGAAGTTATAAGCCTTATTTTATATCTTCAAAATAATTAGATAGAAACGTAATTATAAATTTTCGAATCGATTGTAAAGATCGATTATTGGTTTGGCTGTTTCTGTCGTAAATAAAAAAATAAATAGGCGTGGTTGAGTACAATCATTGGCATTAAGTAGAGGTCAAATAAATAAAGCACGATTGCTTATTATAGTTTGCACCGCGGCGATGCTTGTTTTGATTTTGCATCGAAAATGTAACTTGATAGATGAACTATCACTTTTAAAAATAGGAGTCCTATCGGACTTCTAAAGATCTCTGCTTTATTGTAATATCCTAGTAAATGTTTATATTTCAATAATTTGTTTATAGGAATATAATGAGTAAAATACGAACAATTATCCCAACTTCAAAGCAGCATCAGCAATTTTATTTTTTTAATATTTATGAAGGTAGTTCCTTTTTTAAAAAAAGAATAAAAACAAACCGACAATAAATCCATCACTGATATACAAAAGTAAATGTTAAACAATTCAAGGTCTACAACCAATGCAAATTCCTTGCATACCGAAATATAATAAATATCTTAAGTCTTACCTCACTTGTTATAAAGTGCATTTTGATATTTAACACAATAGTCGGTGTGTCGACACACCTCGCTATTTTATCCTCTGATTGGTGGACTCAAACAATATTGGATATGCACCCTGACTATTTAATGTTTACCTTTGCAAAACACATTTAATATCTTTTAAAATTATTAACAACCAACCACATAAATCGTTCTCTATAATATATCGTTTCGTAACTTTTAGGCACGTCCAAGGTAAGCCTTTCTACTTTCAACAAAACTACAATTACACGTGCAATGCTATTCTAATACAACTTACCCTTCAACACCTCCGAAATACATTTTACCGCTCATTTTAAGATTTGTTTACAAGCGGAAAAGCGTGGGCGGTAACACTGATGATAAACACACTGCTCGTCGCTGTTTTTGATAAGATAACACGTTAAATAAGACTACAAACTCACGCCACGAATGCAACCGCTTGACTGAACTGACAGTTGGGAAAATATTTCGTTTTGTTTGGTTTTGACAGTGACATTTCAATGCCGCGCCTCCGTGTGTCAAGTGCGAAACGTTATAACGGTGAGTCGTTATCGTTTTAACTGCTAATGTATAGTTACAATAAATAACATAATAAATAACTGTTAACTCGTTCACCGGTTCTTGTTCATAAATTATTTGATAAAAACGTTGTTCATGTCTACAACCTGTAGTAAAAATCTAGCATCGTTGCGTATATTTGTTTATTAATTACATTGCTAATTGTTCATGGTGGATATGTCAGTTTGTACATATAGGACAATAAAACAAATACAACATAACGTTTCGTATATTCCACATTTTTTATTATTTTTACAACATTGGACTAACTTACAATGTAACATCGAACACACAGCAAGAATTTGAGGAACGTTGAAAAAATGTTCATCACATCTATATTTCAAATTATTCTAGTTGTACTATTTTAATATTATTCTTTAGTTTTTAGTTTTTACTACTGTTAAGAAAATCGTTACGTGTCTGTGTAATGGCGCAACACTAGACCGAGGAGCAGATTAACAATAACATAACAGCTGTCATTATACCCGTTTTAAAAAATAAGCGCGCCATTCTTGCCTGTAATCCATAAACTTAGTGTTGAAATATATTAACATTGTTACAAGTAATACTGAATTTACTGAAAAACAAAGTGTTCCTGTGTCTAAGTTAATAACTGCTTATATTTGAGTTCCAAGATTTCTGTTTTTTGATGTTTGTTGATTTCTAAATATAACCTAGGGATTTTGAATACCATTTTATGTTTGGTTAAACAGGAATGATATGTCCCATCAGTCTCATAAACACGTTTTTATATTTTCCTGGAAATTCATAACAAAAGTAAGTTCAAAATAACTTTTTACTATTTGGTTGAATTGACTAGAGTTGGAAGCCTTAATCGTAACCGTTATTAAAATATAATTAAAATATTTGTTATTTGTTGCTTCTGCAATATAGAAGTGATGAACAAGCAAATTACATTTTTTTATATTCGTTAAGCTAGCTCTTGACCAAGATCCTACTTGATGAAAGTGATTTCGTAGTTGAAAAATGGTATGCGCTAGCTTAACCACAAGTATTTGTAACAGGTACATTAAACGTGTATAAAATATGAACTATTAGTGATTTTTTACATTGCATTATCTTGTAATTTTCAATAATATTAAAATTTTATTTAATCGTTATTTTACAAATGACTTTGCATAATACAATCATTGTAAATAAAAATCAGTTTATTGTTATAGGAAAAAAGTAAATTTAACATTAATGACTAGGACCATAAATTAAATTTTAATACTGAATAGTACATACCTAATATTAAATAACTCTCCCATTATTTAAAATAATAATTAAAGCAAAAAGCGTTTTTTTTAAATTAATTGACGGAACGAGATAATGATGACTAGGGACTGGAATAATGGGGCAACACCCACAAGAGTTATAGTAATTCAATCAATATAGGCTCCCAATGATAGTTTGTAGATGAGAACTTCTAGGATTTAATTTATCTTCTATGTTCTTTTATTTGGTATCATAATCCACCTATTAGATGAATTTCAATGAGAATTCTATATGAAAAATGACTTAACAGGGCAATTAGACAAAAATTTGCGAGAAAGCATTCGTAACATTTTGAGCAAAGTATCAGATTGCTCAGTTTGCTTTAGGATAGGCCAAATTTTAAAACAAATTTTGCCGACGGCGTCACAAATACTTTCCCCACAAATTTTCGTGATAAGCCCGATACAGACTTATTAATCTAAAAAACCATAGTATATACAGTCTTTCCAAACAACAACATTCATTTAAAACTAATTTATATTTCAGAAAAACGCTTCCTTTTTAACTATAATAATCAATCAATCAATAAATCTTTGATTTTTATAAATACAGAAACAGTATTTAAAAACTTAGATGTAACAATAGAATACGGAAAAGTATATTCTTTCTCAACCTTTACAACAAAAATATAAATAAATAAATTATGGTTTATGCTATTTTTACATTTTATTGACATTTAGACACAACATTTACTTAGAAGTAGAGGAATTTGCTATTTTTTTATATCGTCCATTGATAATAAACAACTATGTCGTTTAATTCACTTGATACGTATTGAACTAGACACATGCGACGGTCGACTGGAACTGAGCGTTTTGCCGTCGCAGAGCTTGGCGTCACCTGGAAACAAGGAAAAAGACAAATCAACTTTTGTAAATTAATAAAACATTGAGAACTAACCATCTCTAGATATTTTTTTCCAGCATATTCTACAAGAAAATTCTCTTGATATACAAATTTAATAACTGTCAATTGCCATTACATATTAGGCAATTATTTATTTGCGCCCCCCCCCCCCTTATTCGCGATACTAGAACCATCTAAGTAGATATGGTCAATGAAATTTTTTAAAAACTTTTGCAAACGTACCTGGTGACGTCACTTTGTGGTATGGAGTCGTTGTCCTCAAGCGAGTGCGAGTGTTCCTGAGGAAGACGCGGGCGTCGGGACTCGCCGTCTGATTCCCGCCGCCCGCCGCCGCCGCAGAAGCACTTGCAAATTATACGCTTGAACGCGAATCTACAAACAAAAACAGGAGAATTGTAAAAAGATTTATTAAAAACAAATTTAATTTCACACGCGGCGCTAGTATCTCGTTCGATTAATCGTTTTGATTTTTAACGTTTAGCGAAAAAATAACGCCAGTTGTAACCGTTATAGCAAAACAGCTTTTAACTTAACAGTTATTAATAACGGTTTTACCTAAAGTCTTTAGAAAAGAGCGCGTAAATAAGCGGATTGATGGCGGAGTTGCAGTATCCCAGCCAGAACAGCACGGAGAATACGATGGGAGTGACGCAGTGTGCGCAGAACGCCCGCAACACGTACACGCTGAAGAACGGCAGCCAACAGCACACGAAGCCACCCACTATGATACCGAGTGTCTTTGCTGCTTTCGTCTCCATACGGAATCTCTTCACCTAATATGAAAAAAATACATTTTACTTATTGTACACATTGATCATTTTAAAAATCATATACTTAAGACACAGAGACTAACTTAAAAATATTTTACACGTAATCTCACTAGCGCCGCCTAGTGTCCAATACTACCACAACAATAATATTACCGTACATAAATTACTGGTGGAAAAACGTTCTTCCCTATGTCTAGTATATATTTCCTAAATGTCTTTGACTTAAGATAATCTTTTGTATCCTTACTTGCGCTTTAATGTTCCTTTTGCCCATTCTCCTTGTCCTTGGTTTATCATCAAATTCATCATACAGAGGTCCGGGCGCCAGGTGGTGAGAGGGGCGGACTCTCAGCCGGCTCTCGGTGAGTTCCCTCCCGTCTCTCTCATAGTGCACCGCGTACAGGGACGGACTGGGGGATCTACTCGGTGAGCGCGAATTCTCATGAGCGGGGCATATTTGCTCTGATGATGGGTATGATACCGAGATCTTTACTTTTTCATGTGCACGGCGTGCGCTGGAGTGTCTATAATTAAACAATATGCTGTTATTTCAAACGCTTTATGTAAAAAATCATTTAGTGACAATAACTTGACTACATAGTCATAGAATAGTTAAATAAACTGTTCTTTCCTGTAGATTTTTTGTTCGCAATAACATTCTCAGAGTGTCAAATATAAGTAACTATTCAAATTACCTTCTCAGTCGCTCTGGCGAGGCACTGAGCGAGGTGCTGGTGGAGTGATTAGACGCAGTAGACAGCGGGGAGCCGTGCGGCCTGGCAGACCCCCTGCCGCGGTGGATACGCAGCGTCAGTCGGTTGTCATCGAAACGGTTACCGAGTCCTTTTCCTGGAATACAGGTACGATATATTAATAAAACTTTGTAAGCGTCGTATATATATTCTCTTATGATGTCACCAAAATGAGTAGGAAATATAGATCCTCGACCCAGCATCGGTTTTAGCGTTAATAGCGCCTTGGGCGAAATTTCTACTGCGCTCCTTTTTTTACTAGTTATGGAGGGTTCACAGTCTTATGTGAGACTGTAAATCGCAAACCTTTCGTCCAGGGACCTGGGCGGTTGCCCAAGCCTACTACTACCTTACCCTACTTGACACTTTCTCGACTTTACTTTCGAGAACGTATTGAATTTAGAATGAAAATTCCATAAATTCTAAATGTTTCTATATCTTAAAACTCTTCTATTATAGAGTCCCATATGAGTACATTTTACTATGTGGAGTATAAAGGGAAGTAGATACTTGAATGTAAAGTAGGGCCAAATGCCGTAACATTGTTATGTTAGGGCCGGCACGACCCTCCTTCATAATTATCAATGGACAAAGGCGAGGTCGGCCTGTAAAATACAATAGCTGGAGTTCTTCAACAATTAAATATGTAGGGCGAGGGATGTTTCTCAAGGCACAGCCCTAGCTCGTTAAATGTTACGAGTATTAGGGTTGTTAAACCCTATTTTGTTGTTCGCTTGTTACGTTCATTTTTCAGAAAATTGTTACCGTTTCTTTTTCTTATTCCGGTTCTAAAGTGAATAATAAATGTAATTTTTTATGTTGTGTCTTTATTTTTTATGTTTAAGTCAGGTAGGGTTTTATTTAACGATTTTTATCGTCATGATGCACGAAATATACAAAGATGTATCTTACGTTAATAATGTAATCGTTACTTTGATCTTATTTTGTTAAGTTCACGTTTTCACTTGGTATAAACTACACATACCTTTAGTAGTTCTGAATCCCTGGTTTATGGCCTTAGTAGTTCTGACCGCTGCCTTATATATCCTCCAGTAGAAGAACAGCATAACGAGCATTGGGATGTAGAAGGAGCCCATGGCGGAGTACACCACGTACCCAGCGTCATTGGTCAGCTCGCAGGTCCACTTGCATGGTGGGTTGGGAGACCAGTCTTGCTTGAGCTCTGCACCCGCGGGCTGCAATTTATTCTATTAATTATCTTGTTGCAGAAGTTATTGAGCTGAAAATAGTTATACTGGCCAGTGTAAGGTCATTTCGTATTTTTTATTACTAGCTTTCGTCTGCGACTCCGTCCGCGTGGAATAAAAAAAAAACAAAAGTGAGTAACCTATATGTTCTTCCAGAATATCCTCTACTTCTATGCTAAATTTCATCGAGGTCCGTTCAGCCATTAAGGCTACAAACTCTAACAAACATCCATCCATCCATCTAAACTTTCGCATTTATAATTTTAGTAGGAAGTAAGATTAGTAAGATTATTTTTTCTAAACAAATAATGCTACTTAATAATGTACCTTTTTATCCTTCCAGCCAACTAGCGGTGGGAAGCATATCACAAACGACAGCACCCAAAGACCAGCGATGAGCGCTTTAGCGCGCCGCCTGCTCATGATGGAGGGGTAGCTGACTGGCCGCGTGACTGCCACGTAGCGGTCCAGGGAGATGGCGCACAGGTTGAGTATGGAGGCTGTACACATCCACACGTCTACTGCGAGCCACACCGAGCACCACACGTCCCCGAATATCCATATCTGGAAATATACGTCGTTGCTTTAATATGAATGTAAAATTTTGGTGTTCCCTTAGTGGTTACTCATCATCTCTCCGTACTAAACGTACTCCCTGTATGTCAGCGCCACAGGTTTAGTCCTCCAGGTTAATCTATCATCCGTCATCTCGATCACCACCTTTCATGCAATCCTTCCATCTCTTTCTAGGTCACCTTTACCGGTTACATATATATACGTTAAATAAATATACGGATAAACGTTTTTTAGACTCATATTTAAAATGTTTTTCGCTGCGATTACACATTAGTTTTATGTTTTAACTCGTAATATCAACCATTTTTTAACAGTGGTAGTGCCCGCTTTAACATCTTAGCAAGAATGGGCCGGCACGCCCGGAGTAATACCACGACCACACAGAAGACGGGCGTGAAATGGAAGCAATTTCGTGTTTCGTCTGATGAGTGTGGTGCCGGAGGCCTAATTTAAGTCCCTTTCTCTTTACCGCCCTTTTCTTATGAGGAGAGGATGGGAAGGGAAAGTGGATTTGACAGAGGAGATACATAGGTAGGGGAAATATCCTCTTTATGTGCATCTCCTTCTCTGTCGGATAAGGGTAGGCAACGCATTTGCAATTGCGGATGTCTATGGGCAGCGGTCGCTTCGCCATTTTTGGCGGATTCAGATGGCTTGCTCGTTTGCCACTTCTTGTTATAAAAAAAAAAAATTTAGAATCTACACCACAGAAATAAAAATATAGCAGTATTCAGGTAAAAAATTAATTTAAACCAGTGTGATTTATTCGTAGCACTTTACGTTCGGCTATAAAGAGCAACAAGTGTTGGTAGGGGGCGCCAGGGGACGCAATTTGCATCCGAGCGGAAGTGCCACACGAGCCGCCACCGCCCGAATAATGCCTCTCCACACGAACCCCCGAAATGCCCCTTCATACTACAAAAAATTTTGCCCCTTCACACAACCGGATAAAATAATGCCCCTTCGCACCTACACAAATTACTGGCTGGCTACCTGTCTGGCTTTGATACATTCTTTTTTCGAATAGGACCAAATACTCACGTATTAAAAACATAAATCGATATTTGTTAAAATTGAAGTTATTTAATTGCAAAAAAAAACATTACAATTCGACTAATTTGTAATATACAGCGCCATCTATTGACCAGGACATTCCATATCTGAGTTTTAAGCATTACATTATCGTATCCAAGGTACCGCAGGTACTTTACATTACGTTTCGATTTAACTTTGTGTCAGTCAAAATCACGTTCGCACGATTACTCCACATAAAAGACGCAGCACAAAGTAAACGTGTTAACAAATTACATTTTTGTGAGTACGTAATAAAGATAAAAGCTTTTAAATTCGTGACTCGGAGACTGAACGTAAGGAGATATCGTGAATTTTTATTTTGCACCCCAACAATTTAAATATTAATACGAAAAATTGTTCATTGCTTTTATATATTTTTAGATATCAACTACTAGTTTTTTTTACCTTGTCAAAATTAGATATTACTATGGCAAAGTCCAAATTTAAAAGGGCTAATACTTTATTCGCAATTGTGATAGATAAAAAGAGAGGAGAGCATTTCAGTTTTTAAACCAAGCCTCTTGTTAATTCAAAATGAATAAAAGCCACAGACGAAACCGGTTGAATTTTAAATAGCATAATTAGTGCAATCTGTACAGAAACCTGTTAAATGCAGGCTTTTAATACTGGAGTCTGAATTTAACTTTTGTATGTTGAGTGCGCGAAAATGTTTTCAAAGGGTTTCTTTAAATAAGTAGTAGACATTCGTTAGTATAGAATTAAAACTGGCGATAAAATACACTTCTAAAACAAATAAATAGTTAGTTCAGATTATCCAAATAAACTATACAATACTAGCTGTTCCCGTGCGGCTTCATCCGCATAAAATTATGAAAGATTTATTTTATTGTTTACACTTGTCAAATTATCAGTAGCAAATGTCAAAATGACATGACGTGACAAACCTTGGCAATCTTACTTTCTTGATGTTGGCAACAAGTTATGGTCTCTTTCCCATATTAGGGTTTTTATCCAAAATATTTACCTCCTAAGTTTAATGGCGTGAAAATATATAGCCTAAAGCGTGACGTAAGTGTGGGGCTTTTTATTAAAAAAAGAATTATTACAAAATATATTGTAATTGCTGACATCTTAGGCAACAAAGAAGTGTGTGTTTACGCTTTATTATAATAGTATACTATTCTAATAAAGCGTAAACACACATAATGTTCTCATTTTTTACATAACAAAATTTTTACAATGGTTTTACAATTAAATTGTGGTCATATTAGTAGAAATCGATATTTGATTCATAAAAATTGGTTCAATTATAATTTTACTTACTATTAAAATTGAACTTTACGTACGAAGCTTAGAGTTTATTCTAATTTAACAAAAACCTTCCATTGGGGGACTGTTCACAGTAAAATATTACTAAAATAACATCTATAATGACAACGCCTACGCCGATTTTCAAAGAATTGTCTTTCAAATTTGAACTATATTGCTTTGGAATAAGGTTGATATTTCAACGTGTACGAGTCGCCCCATCTGTTGCTTTGAAAAGCTTCTAATTAGGAAAAATGATGAGTCATTCAAGGTTTTGCCGTCGGTTTTATTTTCATCGACATTACGAAGGAATTTCTCAACGCTATTTACTAACGGAATTATCCGAATTCTGAGAAAATAATTAACAAAATTAGACCCCTTTTTGTTGAACCAGTGATTGAAAAGGTAAGTATTTACTTTTATCTTGCTAATATTTATAAGCTTAACCTAACGTTACCATATTTCATAGTTGTAATAAAATTGTTTTTTTCGTAAAAAAATAATATGTTCTTAGAAACGTTAGTTTCATATCTTAATCAACAGATGGCGCTTTTATACAATGAGCCATTATGAACATAAAAAGCATAATAAAAATTAAGGAACAACACATTCAAAATATCATCTATACGATAAGACTGATATCGGCAGTTAAATTGTTTAGTCGTTAGTAAAATTATAAATGTCTAATTTTGAAAATTACCGGGGACATTAACGTACCTTAAAGACCTCCCTAGTAGCGGAGAACGGCAGCACGGCGAGGCCCACGAGCAGGTCTGCGACGGCCAACGACACGATGAACAAGTTGGTAACGCTGCGCAACTTAGAGGAGCACAGCACCGCCGCTATCACGAGACAGTTGCCTGCACATACAATTAAAGAATCAGGAGAGGTATTCAGGTTTTCAAGTCAGCTGGAACAAGTCGCTTGGCAAAAACTAATTTTAAAAATATATCGGCTTGTTAAAACAAAATAACACGATACACTTAAAAAGCTATTTCCTTCTAAATTGAAAACCGATTTGATATTTCAAATTGCACGTGGCCAGTCAGAGGTTATACCTTGAACTTCTACAAAACCTATAACACCAATAATAAAACCTCTTTTTCAATACCGATTTCCACGTAGACGTAAACGCGACACTAGTCGCTATTATTTTATGCAGTCGCTGTAAAATCACACACGATATAAGCGGCGATTGAACGTTCACTCTCATAAGCCAAGTGGAAAAGGTGTTAAACGACCAGCATTGCGACAGCTATTTCTATGACGCTGCCGTAACAATGAAAATGGTAAATAATGGCACATTTCTATGGGTCGTAGAGTAGAGGGTAGAGGTGCCCCAGCCCTAAGGGCAGTAATTTGTAATATAGGTATATTTCATTAATAATGTTAAGGTTCCTTTAATCTATAGTGAATCATAGAGATAACTCAAAAACTAACTCTTAGTTTTTCATCAAAGCATTCTGTTTTTACTAGTAAACTCGTTTGAAAATCGATCTTACCCCCTTGATCATCATTAGATCATAGACTAGCGGCGCCTATAGTAAAGTATGTAAAAAGTGGAGGTTATATTTCTACAGTTGTGCGCTAGTCGTGTTAGTGGAAAAGGAGTGTACACGGCGACGTCCGGTCTATTTCCAATTGCACTCGATGTAAGAAGCTCGTTCCGTGAGGAGTGGGTCGTGCGATTGTGTCCGCTTCCAATACTTATTTAAAATACTTTTACCTTACTTCACATGCCACTGATACACGTATTGCAAAATCGCATTCCACACACACACAATTATTTCATCATATTTTATATTAGAGCGTTCTAGAATAAATACGAGTAGAACAATGTTAAATTTTTAATTTAAATTAAAAGTTATGTTAGGAAAACATACAAAATATATTTTTATTAATCATTTTTGCATCAACATAGTTTTCCTTGTGTTATCATACTTCATACTAATATTATAAATGCGAAAGTTTAGATGGATGGATGTTTATTAGAGTTTGTAGCCTAAACGACTGAACAGATTGCGATGAAATTTGGTATAGATGTAGAGGATGGTCTGGAAGAACACATAGGCTACTCACTTTTGTTTTGTTTAATTCCACGCAGACGTAGCCGCGGGCGAAAACTAGTAACTAAATAAAAATGGAAGATTTAAAAGGAGAGAACAAATTAATATATAGCAAGTTTTAAAATGATTTATCAAATACAATTACAAAGTAAATAAATCTGAAATGTATACGATAAGAAATTGCGGGTTTTGAGAATAGGCTCCCCAGTCGAGTAACAATACAAAAGTTTGTGTTCAATATAACCGCAGTATCTTGTGTAAATCTTCGTTACGAACCGAACTCGAAACTCCACCGACTTTCGTTAACAATAATTCAATATAAAAGTTAGAATTCGTTAACTTTGCAATTTTGATCCTCGACCTTTAAATATTGACAGAATAGATTACTTATTCATCATTTTGTGATTTGTTAAGATTTTAATTCAATGACTAGATAATATTTCTATCATATAAATGCAATTTTTACAAGATAAATAAATAAGAGACTTTCATTGTTGTCACAAAAACAGTTTCTTATGAGCTAAGTAATAAAAAGTTAAATCGACAACAATGGGCTGCAGGCTCAGCGTGGACCGTATGACCTAAGCCATGAGGAGCTGGTTTTCAAGATAAATAACAGGAATAACACCCAACACCGTAGTACTCGAGGAACTATAGATTCGTTGCCGGCTTTTAACACATTTACTGCGGCAAGTAAAATCATTATTCTTCAACTGGTGCGGCTGCGGGCCAAAATGCGCCCCCCATATTTCCACCAGTGCGTGGCAGGTCTTTCTAAACCCACCAGCACTAGGATAGATTAAAATGCTATAACTTTATGGAAACAGTATATACATTTTATGTAATGTACACCTGAGATAATCGTTTCGCTCTAGCGAGAGGGACATCCTTCGTCCGCTCCAGCTGAAGTACCCACCGCCTGAGGGCGATATCGGTCTGTTACGAAGTGAGTGTTCAGTTACAGCTCATAACAAAAAAGGTACTCGTTTCTTGTTTTATAGCAAAATGTTATAGTGATTCGTTGACGATGACTCACGTTATCGCTAAAATAGATAGACCATAGATTATACAAATAAATTAGCTAGACATTTATAATGGTTTAAATGCCATAGACTTTCCCTTAACAGTAGTAAAAATATATTTGCTATTGATGTGATTAAAGTTTAAAATTTAATTTTATTGTATGAACATTTTATAAGATATGGAAGATATTCTCAATATATCCTTGATAGAGCAGAGAAAAGTTTTTTTATAATATTTTCTATGACACCTGCAAAATTTTCTATAATGATTTATGTAGATTTTTAATTTATTCCTACTTTCTTCAACTCTTGATTAAGTTATGAGCACAATGGAAAGTTTTCAAACGGTTGACATTTGAGAAATTTGATTTTCACTTAAAAATACAAATACCCTTTTTAGGTATTTTTTTCCTATCCGTTTGATTTTAAAATCTTCAAAATAATTGCTTAACAAACGTATGTAATTATTTATCAAAATATTTTAATTTTATTGTTTTAGAAAATCGAAAAATTCCAATTGTCAGCATCACAAAAGATTTTCAAAATAATAAAGGTTCATCCAAGCTTACATTATGATGAGGGTTGAATTTCGCTTTGTATGGATTCCAATCGAACACTTTTAAAACAACATTATTCCCATCCCTCATATTTCCTTTCACAAAACTTTTACGGCATATATGCTTTTTTATAATAAAGGAGGGCAAACGAGCGTCGAGATCACCGAGGTGGTCAGCGACGCCCATGGACATCCGCAACACCAGAGGAACTACAGATGCGTTGCCGGCCTTTGAGGAAATGATAGGCTCGCTTCTTGAAGGACCCTATATGGTAGCACGGAATCAAGCCTAGGTTAAAACAATCATCTTATTAATATTATAAATGCGAAAATTATGATGGATGGATGTTTGTTAAACTTTGTAGCCTAAACTGCTGAAAGGATTGCAATTATTTAATATCCTCTTTATGTGCGTCTCCTCCTCCGTCGCATAAGGGTAGGCAACGTAGTTAACAGGTAGTTTTTGAGTTATTTCAATACATACAAAAATACAAATCTTTCCTCTTTATAATATTAGTATACATTTATTTGTACATCTAACAAAAGGTTTGAAGTGTGAATAAATAAAAGGAAGGCAGACGCCCCGATAATTGAAGTCAAGCTAACCCTTTTTCCATTTTATAAAAATACCCATATTTGTGGAAAGGTTATTTCAAATTTATTTTTTTATTTATCATTCTCCAACCCAATAAATAAAATAAAGAAACCGAGCTTAATCTTAGCCTAAAGTGGTCGGCAGAATTCAAGTCTAATTAAAAAAGTAGAAGGGGGTGGCTGAAAACTAGCTCGACATTGGACCTCAACCAGTATCGGTTAAGCTGAGTCTCCCCCTTTTGTTATCGGTTACAATTTTTCTGTGTATATTTTTGGATGACAATCAAAAGGTTTTTTTTTTATTTATTTATTATTTAACTAAGCGAACCGTTTAGTGCAATGTATGTGAAAAGTACACTAAGTGACTACATTACTCTGAGTGCGGCAGTTAGTGTATACAAACAATTTGGAATTTAAAATAGAATCCATGAATAAAAATTCAGTACCATCGTACTGAAATAATTGAACTTGGACCCTTGTCAATTCAAGAGCCAAGCACTCGAGGTCCGCGCGGTCGGTGCTTTGTTATTTTTAGTTCTCTACACATTTTTTTAATCGACCCAATTCCTTTGTAAGCGCTGCATTTAAGCGCTTTCTAAGAGCGTACACCTTTGGCTAAATCGCACTACTGTTTGCGATTGTCGATTGTTTCGCAGCCAATTCAACTGTTTAGTTGCACAACTAAATATCGAGTAGTATGCGCATCTCAATCACCTCAAATTGCGAATCAAAGCGCGACTAAACAATTGTACGATAGTTTAGTTAAATTATTTCTAATAGTTAAGAATTATCTATACATGTTCAAGGAGTTTTATATGTTTTTAGGTCTCAAGCCATTAGAAAAGAAGAATTTAAATTATTTAAAACAAGCTTTCAGCCCGCGACTTCGTCCGCGTAGAATTAAAAAGAACAAAAGTGAGTAGCCTATGTGTTCTTCCAGACTATCCTCTACATTTATGCCAAATTTCATTGAAATCCATTCAGCCGTTTAGGCTACAAACTATAACAAATATGCATCCATCCATCTAAACTTTCGCATTTATAATATTAGTATGATTGGAACACATTGTCGATGTAATCGTATTTTCTATGTCTTTTTCTGTACATATTTTATCAATACACATGTCTCCGTTAAAATAGTTTTATTTCTAAATCTTTTACGATATACAGATTGGTAAACTCCTAGTTTCTAATAATACCAGTGGCATGACGAGTTTCTGTAGCACAAATGGAATTTCAAAATTTCTGTTCAAATATCGCAAAGGTATTTTCAATACGAGAATTCGCGGTATTCGAGAATACATTCAACTAACAAAATGTCAGTATGAAAATAATTTAAATTTCTTAGAATAAAACATTTTATCCGTATTGAAAGTTACCGTGTTACTTTTACCCGTGACTTCGTGTGAGGAGAAAAAAAATAACATATGTATAACAGACTGTGTTCTACATCTGTGTCAAATTTCATTAATAACCGTTAAGCCGTTTTAGACATCTATACATATGATAAAATTGGAATGTCTGTTTATAACATCAAGGGAAAATTTTCAGATTTCGGAAAGAATATGTATTTGCGTTACTGTTAACGAAAATTGAATTTAAAAATGTTTGTCTGTCTGTCTGTCCGCAAGCCGCGTTTGTTCCGGGTAATCTAAACGGTTTGACCGATTACCATCGGACTTTCACTAAAGGGTGGCTGAAATAGACGAGCATATTATAGGCTACTTTTTAAATCTTCACATTGTGTGGACGATGTCGCGGGCAACAGATATATATACACTAAAGGGCTTATAATATACATATTACAACTGGTAGTTTTGTTTTGCTCTAAGTCTGAAGTCTGCGACATTTTTTAATATTTCCTTTTTTAGTTTTGAGTCTCGGAATCCGTCGGGTTTTGCTTTTCTATTTCTGAAGCGATTTCTTTCAGAATTTCCAACAAGCACAATACTTTTGAATGGCATTGTCGTTGGAATATAAAAATATTGAGATTTTCCGAACAATGCTTTATTTTTACTGCTACGCGCATTGCGACCTGCTTTCTACCGTTATTTTAGGTCTGATGGATTTATTTCCTATGCTGATTGAGATTAGTCAATTTATTTTTATAGATTTATACGTTGATTTATTTACTAACTGTTACCCGTCACTGTCAGCGCGGAATTAATTAAAAAAATTGCTAAGTCTAAATATTCTTCCAGACTATTTTCTACATCGGTACTAAATTTCATAAAGACAGTAGTTTAGTTAGACAGTCAAGTAGTTTTGGAGATACGTAGTTCTGCGAAACAATTTAAGCGCGTCGTATGAAGGCGCGAGATTTAATATTGATTTCAAACCTCCGTAATCAGTCACCGAATTTTTAACCACTCTGATAGTTTATTACTACAAGAATACTTATAAAATCGCATAAAGATTTAGTAATAAAAAAACGCACACACCGTAATATATGTACCGCTACTATTCAATTAACGCAGACGAAAGTAGTGCAGCATTCATAGATCGAACGCATTGTAAGTGTTTATTTATGCGCCTCGTTAATATGAATAGAATAATGACTTACCGACACAACCGCCGCCCACCGGCGCCGGCGCTGAATGACTGAATGAACTACTTGCGCTTGTATCCTTGTCAAGGGCATTTGCAAATTAATGTTGTTTACAAAATGCGACGTTGCCGTACTTACACAATCGTTATGATGTTATGTTTTTTTTGCGCTAGTGTAAGTGTTTTAAATTGTCGGTGCATGTGAGAAAATTATTAGAAATCTTAGTGAATTTACCTTTTCCATTTTAGGTTGAAGGTGATTCAAGGTCAGATTAGATTATAGACGTCAGTTTGGTAAATAAAATTAAAACATTTAGGGCGACTTTCATAACGATAATTTAGACATATACAATTTTGCGTAATTTTATTGAAAAACATAAATTATGTTGTATAAATAATTCTAATGCTATATTAAAATAGATGAAATAATTGTTTGTATTTTCTTTGAAGAATCCAACAAAACCTTATCCATTTCTAAATACGTAAGAAAACTTACCCAAGTACTTCAGATCCATTGGTTTTGTGAAAAAAATTCCGAATTGCCAGTAACTCGTTTACGTCTACGAGTTTCGACTTTTGGAGGGAAACTTACAGCCTTACAGGTTTTCAGAAGTTCTCGAAGTTACTGACTTAAGCATTCTTTACTTGCCTTTATCTTGGAAATACATTTTGTGTTTACCTATATTTATTTCTTTGTACAGATATTAACAGATTAAAGACATTTAACAATGTTTTTTTTACTTTTTCTTATGTATATGTATTATTAATTAAAATAACTAGAGATTACGTAATTAAACTCCTTATAAGATGACCGCCATCTATCGGTTAAAAAGTGTACATCCAAAAACAATGGTTTTAGTCACTGTTTCCTTTGAAGAGGTATTTATAGGTTCATCGGGCTAGAGGTTTAAGAGATAACGCTTAACCTAAGCCTTGTTTATGAGTAACAAAGATCGAGGGTTCAGGAACCTGGGCTAAGGCTGTAATACCGGATTGAAACGCACCAGAGCTCTTAGATCGCTTCGGTGGATGCTCCATGAAGTAACTGACAAGGGCCCCCCAAAAGGGACCTCTTAAATAATATTTTTTACCTATTTATAGATGTTATATTTGTAGTAAAGCATTACCGGTTCTAACAACGTAAATAAATCCTTAAAGTAATGCCAACTGTAGCGTGAAGGACCCTTGTCAAGATTTCAAGATAAAACTTTCGCTGGCTCTTTGTTATTTTAAGACTTACATATAAATTCGTTTATCAACCCGTTTTCGTTATTTACTTCGTATTTTTTTTTAATTCTTCGAAAATCGAATCAAAAAAATAGATGGCAGCACCGTCGGTTATTAATGTGTGTTAAAATTCAACTCTTTATTGTGTTTAAAATACGAGGCAGAAAACCGAGCGAACGATGGAAGCGATGGAGGGCCCTCGAGCCCGCACAAAGACAGGAAAGAGCAAACGGGAAATGCAAAATGTATGCCGTCGATATTCCACGTGAATTTATTGCACACAATATCTGAAATACGAATAAAAAATGACGAACATAAAGCATTTTAGGTTAGAACATAGAAATAAAATGTGAATATATATTGAATGAAAATGAACCAGTATTTACTTATTTTGGGCTTCAGAAAACTTATACTAATTTATGATAGACAGAGAATATTGTTTTTATCTATTTGAAATGATTGCAAAATGTTAATTAAAACGACATTAATTCTGCTGCAATCAAGCGAGTTATTTGCACTCGAAGGCAAATACGGAAATGGGACGGAACTGCTGTTTATTACGGAATGAAATGAGAAGTGCGTGTACAATTTGAGAGTCCTAGGTTCCTAACTATTGAGTTAAAGATAATTTAATCTGCTTGGTTAAGAAAAAAACTCGGCATTCACTCGATTTTTCCGGGTTTACATGGTGTTAAAGTTTGGAAACAAGTTAAATATCATGCTAGTGAAGTTTGCAGTTTACCTAGACAAGTTACAGACGTTCTGTATTCATGATTGTTCGGCGACGTATAAACACATATGGTACATCTGCGTACCTATACTGTGACACTGTAATCTACTAATGGAATCGTCAAGTCGCGGCGTCCCCGCCACAGCATAAATGAATACGGGCGTCCGTTAGCGTCTGTTAGCGTCCCCCGCTCCCTCCGCCCCTCTCTCAGATAAATGGAGCTCCCTGTATAACTTATTAAAACACTTCACACGGTTCGGCTTTAAAATGTTCACTTATACAAACACTGGCTGGTTTTATTAAAAAGAAATACGCAAAAGGACTTTCATTTGTTTTTAAATTACAAAAAAAGAAAAACGCGGTCTTATAATGTAGTAAAAATATTAGTGTAGTTGAAGTAAATGCAATTTAAGGTTAGAAGAGAAGATTAAATGTGGATGGCTACAAAGGTAGGAGATTGTGTGTAAGATATGCTTAAGAAGGGAGTATATTGAAATGTGACGGCTGATACAAATGTATGGAAGACCACATACTGTGCCGACCCTCTGTAGGGACAAGGGCAAGTTAGTAGTCTTCTAAGGTGATTGGTAGTTCTGACCTGCAACGACTAGGACGTCTATAAGCGCGAGCACGGCGAGGCTGGCGACGCTGGAGGGCTCGTCCCAGCGCACGTCGCGCCACAGCGCCGAGCACGCGGTCTCGTTCAGCGAGCGCATGCTGCGCCCGCCCCGCCCCGCCGCGCGCACCGCATGCCGCGACTACCCGCCGCACGCCATACTCGCCGCCCTGAGGACGAAGGCAAAGGTAAAAAGTAATATAAGTAGGCAAAGGTTATAGAGCCACTGTTAAGGCAAAGGCTTAATCATTGTAGAGCCATGGCAGAGTCAAAGATTAAACAACTGTGAAGCCACGACAGAGTCAAAGAGTAAACAACTGTAAAGCCAGATTAGAGGCAAAAGTACAACTGTGGAGCCACTGTGAATTTATTTTTCCAACGTATTTCTTATGTATTAAATGTAAATACAAACACATTTTAACTTTCAATTTATAACTTTACGAAGTATAAACGCATTAAGAGATTTCAAAGTCTTCTAGGGGTTATAGTGCAATTTATTGTCGAAGTTTTTAAGCCGCAAGGGTCCAAACTTATAGATGGGCTGAGACTTTGATGAAAATTATTTCAGTTATCCATTTAAAGTTGCAACGGAATAGTGACAGCTATTGTAAATACTTCGTTATTGTTTTATAATGTATCTCCAAACGAAGTAACATTATACGATAATCTCAAAAAGTACCTAACATAGTGTTAAATTTGCCAGAATGTGTACGTGATGTTCATAACATGAATGAAACTGTATACACTGTTATATTGAACGTTGGTAAATTAGAAAATGATCCAGGTATTCGACCGCGTTGTGTAAATTCGTCGAGGCGATTTACAAATGGATTAACGGAAGGCTGGATGTACCCATTGAAATGTACGACTGAGTGCGCGTGGTCCAATTTATAAGCGACAGCGTAGAAAAATCTTTTTTTTATTTAAAAAAGTGTTGTTATACAAGATTAATAATTGATATAGTTGGCGAAGATTTATTTTTTTGTTAGTTTTAAATTGTTGATTATCAAAGTCCACCATAAACAGCGCCAGTGAATATCTGTTGATATAAAATAGACACATTTCAACCAAACATAAAAGTACATAAAATTCATTACTTGTAGAATCCGAATATTGAGAAATTAAATAAAAGAACCTTTTCAAATAATTTGTTTAATTACTGCACTTGCAATTGTTTTGTTTGTTTGCTGTCAGCTTGTGACTTGCGCCGCGATCACGTCGGGCCTACGCGATCAGTCTTCTAATTAACTGTTCCGGCTGAATGTAGCCTTTGTTTGGCTTTCTAATTGCTTTACTGAGCCCCGTCCGCCGCGCCGCCAGCGGCCACGGATTTAACTCTAAACTACTAACGAACGGATTAATTTAAACATCTTTATAATGCCAAAGATGTAGTATACTTAAACTGCAAAACTTAAAAAATATTCTAGCATTAAATGCCACAGTAAACTAAAGTGATTACCTGTTCCCTTGCTGCTTCATCCGCATGAAATTATAAAAAATATATTTTATTGTTTACATTTGTCAAATTTTCAATTGCAAATTACCGTTACCATAATAACATTGCTTCCTTAATGTTGGCAGCTTGTAATATATGGTCCTTTTCCCACATGAAAGGTTTTTTCCAATTTATATACCCCTTAAGTTTAATAGCGTGAAAATATATAGCCTAAAGCGTGTCGTAAATGTAGGGCTTTTTATTAAAGATTGAAGTATTCAATATGCTGTGATTTCTGACATCTTACGCCACAAAATAGTGTGATTTCGCTTTATTATATTAGTATATATTATACACATATAAATAAATAAAAAAAAAGCAATAACGACAATAAACATAAATCTATCGACCACAACACTTGTAGGCAAGCGTAGATTGAAACGTTAAACTTGAAAGACAAAAAGCTTGGTTTTATCCCAATAGAATATTCTTTTAGCTTTCAATGTGTATGCAGTTCAGGTATTCTGTAAGAAGCTGCAACGGACATGCTACATTTGTACACAAAGTAACTATCAAAGCGCACGTAGCGAGGGAAGTGTTAACATCAGTGTGAACGAGTATATCACGTCTCGTACACATTCACTCACATTCATTAAGATGCAACCTTCTAGTTGTTGACGATAGACAGTGGTTACTATGTCATTCACACATTCAGTCATTCACTCGTTCATATCATTCACCTAGGTATACTTCGCTGTGATTGGAAACAATATTGGATGCAGCAAGATTATTGTACAGATATAAAATGTTGAGATTGTTTCTAGGACGCGGGATATTGGAAAATATAAACGTGTGGCTTTCTGTACCGTTTGTGTTTTTTTTTTAATTTTCTTTCTATATTTATTATATGGTGTTTTGTATTTATAGAATGCTTTTAGGTTTCTAATTTTGTAAAACAAACTGCTAATTCATAATCTGGTGCTCTCGAAGGTTACTATAAAATTTTCTTTTATGTACTTTTGGCTTATATCTCACGTAATTTAAAGTACGAGCTATTGATATATGTTTTATATATTAATAAATCGAATTATATCAATTTGCATTTATTACGACCAAATTAGACATCTTGAATATTTCCCCGGACGTTAAATTACGATTCCTGCGGGATGCAGGCGGGAGTCGTGCGGAATGACAACAAGCTGGTGACACATTGCCGCGTCGCTTCGTGTACTATGTAAACCTCATTTTACATTTCATATTTCTTGCAGACTGCAAATAAAATATGTAGCTATATCTATACTATTATAATAAAGCGTAAACACACACTTCTTTGTTGCCTAAGATGTCAGCAATTACAGCATGTTTTTGCATTATTCTTTTTGTAATATAAAGTCCTACATTTAAATCTCGCTTTAGGCTATATATTTTCACGCCATTAAACTTAGGGGGTGAATATTTAGGATAAAAACTCTAATGTGGGAAAGAGACTATAAGTTGCTGCCAACATCAAGAAAGAAAGATTGCAAAGGTTTGTAATGTCATGTCATTTTGACATTTGCTATTGATAATTTGACAAATGTAAACAATAAAATAAAATTTTCATAATTTCATGCGGATGAAGAAGCACGGGAACAGCTATTTTAAAGAAGAATAAAACTATAACAAGATACCACGTGAAATTATATTTTTACTTTGACATGTTCAATAAACTGTCAGTCCGTGAGTATCAATGGAGATTATTGCCTTTCCTATGCCAGTTATTTTTCCCTCCACAAATTATCTTGTCCGATACGATTAACGTAACGGGAGACGGCAAAATAAACGTGTCTCGCGAGACTAACGACTTTATATACTGGAAATATGTTTTTTTAGTTAATAATTATAGGAAACTGCTTTTAGTATAAATTTCATCGTTTTCAATGTTTAAAAGTTATATTCAAAAAAAGTTATAATCAAGTTATATTTGGATTACAATGGACAAGTTGCTCGCGACTTCATCTGCGTTAAATTGAAAATAGCCTATGTTACTAACTGATAATGTAGCTTTTTAGCGCAGGAAGATTTTTTAAAATAGCCCCAGTCTTTTTGAATTATTTCAATACATACAAAAATACAAATCTTTCCTCTTGGTAATATTAGTACAGACACACGTTTACAGCTTCCTTCTATATTGAAATATGTTTTAAAAGTATCTTTAAAGAAAATATTGCGAAAATGAGTAACAAAAAAATAAAAAGACATTAAAGATTGATAAGTTAAGGCGAAGTGATTTAGAGATACTTAAAACACATTTTAATTTCACCGTCGTCACTTGACGAGGGTTCAAATAACATAAAATTTATGCTCCTTTAGAAATTCCTTGAGATTTTAATGGATTCTTTACACCTAGCGTTAAATTAACGTCTAGCTATCTTACTAATATTATAAATGGGAAAGTTTACATGGATGGATGTTTGTTAGAGTTTGTAGCCTAAACGGCTGAAGGGATCTCGATGAAATTTGGTATAGATGTAGGGGATAGTCTGGAAAATCACATAGGCTCACTCACTTTCGTTTTTTTTTATTCCACGCGGGCGGAGTCGAGGGACAGTTAGTAATATCATAAATGCGAAAGTTTAGATGGATGGATGGATGTATAGATAGATGTTTATTAGAGATTGTAACATAAACGGCTGCACGGATTTCGATGAAATTTGGCATAGATGTAGAGGATAGTCTGGAAGAACACATAGGCTACTTGCTTTGGTTTTTTTTTATTCCGCGCGGACGGAGCCGCGGGCAAAAGCTAGTTATTTAAATAATAGCGTATTGCGTTTAGAAAAACTAATATACTTTTTCATGAACAAAAGTAATTATAAAACTAACTTTGTTTATTTTTCTATCAACTAAGGTAAATTAATTAGCAGAGAAAACGTTTGCTAGTTTAAACAAATAAGATTGATTAATAAGCTAACAATATAGTAAAGTTAAAATCGTTCCATTTAATATTTATGAGGTCCCAAAATATATGTCCCTTAACGAGACACGTGAGGAGGGTACAAAAATGACGCACAATAAGACCTCTTGAATATATAAGTCATTTTGACATATTACTTGAAGTTAATGTCCAGATAAGCATAAATATAAGTATTTTGTTAAAAAAAACAATTCTTAAGATAACCACCGTCATTTGCTATAGTAAAACTATGGTTATTTTAAACAAACAATTGAATAAGAAATAAATTCTATCTTAAAACCTAGGAAAAGTAATTAAAATATCTCTTGTTTATATTTAGTACTAGCTTTTGCTCGCGACTCCGTCCGCGTGAAATAAAAAAAATAATGTAAAACAAAGCCTATGTTACTCACTGATAACGTAGCTTTTTAATAGTGAAAGAATTTTTGAAATCGGCCCAGTAGTCTATTACGTCTGCGTGGAACTAGAAAAAACAATAGTTTCAGACTTACCACAATGTCTGTGCCAAATTTTACGTAGGTCTGTTCAGCCGTTTAGGCTACAAACTCTAACAAACATACATAAATTTCTTGCATGCATAATAACTTTCACATTTATAATATTAGTAAGAAGTAAGATAGTATAGAAGTACTAAAAATGGATTTATTCAAAAACTAGCTTTCGGCCGCGACTCCGTCCGTGTCAAACTGAAAAAAAAACAAAAGTAAAT